CAGTTTCACGCTTTTCGCGTTCGTACCTTTATACACTAACCGATTTTTCGCGACCGAACCGAAACGAAACAAAACAAAACTTTTCGGACTGAACCGGAACCGTAGAGAGAGAGAGAGAGAGAGACTTGCTTGATTGCTTTAAAGTGGAGAGTTGCGGGAGAACTTGGTGGAGGGTATATATGTCTTTGACTGATATTGACTCAGGTGGTTTGGGTTAATTTCCATAACCTCCCCCCCTTACTTTTAGTGTAAAAAGGCAGCTCTAAGTTTGGGAATAATCACTAACATCCCCTATATGTTCCGGCCTTAGGGTCGGGCACTTGCCCAGCCTAAAAAGACCATTTATAAGCTCAATATTCAATTTGTTTATCTGATATGAAAACACAACATATAGTATCGTTAATAATAAGTCATTCATAACTAAATATATTTAAAATGATATTATTGAAATTAAGTGGTACGTCAAGAAAGATCAACAATACCTACGAATAGATAATCACATGCGCTCTTTCATGCATTTTAAACCCTTCTTAGTTTATGTAATACATAATTTTAAACAAGTGTGTATTAGATGGCCTATAAACTGGAGATTGTTTTTGAAGTATTGAGCTTGATTTCGTCCCTAAAATCTAAGGCCCCACTTGATCCAAGACTGAAATTGTGCTATCCAAAGCCGCACAATTTGGTTCACATTTGGCTTGTATCGTATCAACCTAGTCTAATTGATATCCTTATTTATAAGAGGACGATAAGAATAATTCCCAAACCATAGGGAATTCTTTTGTGTTAGAATAAAACCCAGGGGACGTAACAGTAATTTCCCAGGTGGTTTCTGTGTAACGAACGCCGTTTATTTCTCCGTTATTGTGTGTTATGTTGACTAAGACGGTTTCACTTAACGGCGCACGTGGCCGTTTCTCACTCAGGATTTTGACTTAGACATATATGATAAATGCAATGGAATAATGGTCATTATTAATTGATTTTTTGTTAGATTCTGTCCAATTTAAAAAATTAAAAGAAAAAAAAAGGAATATATTTCTTTTTTAATGTTTATATTTTTATCATATAGTTATGACTTGTTAGATACTTAGGGTAGACCATACCATAGTTTTGTAAAATATTTATATTCTTTTTACACATGTCTTGTGATTAAAAATGGAATATTATTGTGTACGGAAAATAAATAGTACCAAGATATTGTCTATTAATAACATTTTTCTTAAGTCATTTTTATAAGATAGTCATATTGAGTATAAACAATACCTACTTAATAATTAGAGAAAATCTAAAATATGTATGCGGGATGTGACAAACTTCCGATTTCTTGTAGAGCCGGTGATGTTATGAGTTTGTATTTAACACAATGTGATGTTAGATGTGACAAATTTTGTGTTTTTTTTCGAAGTTATTACACCGTATTATAGGTTGTTAGCTCACTTTATTATCAATTGTAACAATTTAGACATTATTGGATGGTCGAACCCATTCGAATAATCATAAGCTTAGTTTGATATCAATTGTAGTAGTTCGGGTAACTATGATACAGGTTCTGGGTCATGCACACATATTTATTGTTGAACTTAAGACACCTTTTACACAAAAACACGCTTACGAAGTCGAGAGGACTCAAGATTTGTAAATTGATACAAACTCTTATTTGTTAATTAACGACGTAAGATATGAAAAATCTAGACAATATAATGGACGGTTCTTGATAAATATCTTATAATAATTATTGATTCATTGACTCAATAGTTAGAAGTTGAAGACTTGAAATCATTGTTAAAATATTAGCGACTTTACAAAGCTCAAATTATTATGCAAGTCTTAATCGAGTGACATGTTCAATATCAAAATTTGTATTATAAATAATTGAGTGAATCAAATTGTTAAAATCAAATTATTAGAATTTGACTTATGATAATCATTAAGATGCAATATTATTTTATATAAAATAATGCCTTTTTTGTGAAAATTTTATAAGTCAAACTTTTTTAATAAATACTATTATTTGTTTTTATTTTCTGTTCAGAATGAACAACATCTTTATCGTTTATCCCTTTATCAAATATAAAATTTTAGATAAATAAAGTTCGAATATGTACAATTATTCAAATTAATCATCCTTAATAATTATCGACATTTTTTTTTTCCAATCTTAACTTTTTAATGGATGGGAATATATTTATTTACCCATGTAAATACACGGCATCCTATCTCTCCCTTTATGGTCAGATAACAAACCTTTTAGTCACTGGAATTAGTTATACTCAGAGGGTCTTGTCTTCGAGTCACGAGAAGGGCAATTATCGGGTTTACTTAGAAAACAAATATACCCGCCATCCTAGGTTTATGTTAACAATATTGCTAAAGAAACCCAACAAATCTCTAAGCACATTTAAGTCCAATATTTTTTATTCTTTTGTATGTGGAAAATTTTGTGTGTACTTAGGCATGTGGGAGGTGTATTTAGCATCACTCTTGAAAATCCACCAAGCCCATATTTAAATCTCCTCTCCAAAGTTCACCACAGTAAAGCTCTTTTTATTTGCTATAATCTTTGACATTATCTCTAAATTGTCATGTTCTCATCATAATTATGATCTAAATTATTATGCTCTCAAAATTTGCTTTTCACTTATATTTCTTGATTTGAACGTTTTGAAAATTCTAAAACACACATCACGGACCGACGATATTAAAATTAAAAACATCTGACTTTCACGTTTTAGAATTTTCATGTATCGTATAATATAATTGAAATTTATCGTTTTCACACTATTATTAAACCATTACGCACATGGAATATTTGATTTGGATGACAAAAAATCTCTCAAAACTATTAAAGAATATGATTCTTAATGTTGGGTCCAAAAGGACTGTGGCTGTCATTTTGTTCCTTTGTGGGTCCTTATGTGTCGAATCTCACCAAAATTATTGAGTTAATGTAAAACGACACATTGAAAAGGGAAAAGGATGAAAAATGGGCGGCTATGATCTCACCATGTTAAATCGTATCAACCTTTGAATTTAGATCAGATGATAATTCAGTCCCCACTTTTCTTCTTCTACCAACCCCATTACACAAACATTGGGTCTCACTGACTTTACCCATTTATTGACTTTAATATTCATTGTCATTTGTTAATTTAAAGGGGGCTAGAGTGTAATGTTTAACAAATAAAGGGAACTAGAGTAAAGAGTGAATTTAAGAGGTTATATCTAGGGGGTCAAAGTGTCAAAAGTTCAACAAATGAGGGGGTTAAAAAGTTAAAAACCCTAAAATATTTAGGGATGAAATTAACATATATCAATATAAATTCACAAAACACTTGCAGGCTTGGGTGCTATGCCTGTCGTCACAGCTAGGAGTTTCACACCAAAAAAACTAGCCTGTTAGGTGGAAGGATTACCCCCCTTATAAACCCAAGATCACCCTATTTCCCTTTCGANGCCATCCTAGGTTTATGTTAACAATATTGCTAAAGAAACCCAACAAATCTCTAAGCACATTTAAGTCCAATATTTTTTATTCTTTTGTATGTGGAAAATTTTGTGTGTACTTAGGCATATGGGAGGTGTATTTAGCATCACTCTTGAAAATCCACCAAGCCCATATCTAAATCTCCTCTCCAAAGTTCACCACAGTAAAGCTCTTTTTATTTGCTATAATCTTTGACATTATCTCTAAATTGTCATGTTCTCATCATAATTATGATCTAAATTATTATGCTCTCAAAATTTGCTTTTCACTTATATTTCTTGATTTGAACGTTGTGAAAATTCTAAAACACACATCACGGACCGACGATATTAAAATTAAAAACATCTGACTTTCACGTTTTAGAATTTTCATGTATCGTATAATATAATTGAAATTTATCGTTTTCACACTATTATTAAACCATTACGCACATGGAATATTTGATTTGGATGACAAAAAATCTCTCAAAACTATTAAAGAATATGATTCTTAATGTTGGGTCCAAAAGGACTGTGGCTGTCATTTTGTTCCTTTGTGGGTCCTTATGTGTCGAATCTCACCAAAATTATTGAGTTAATGTAAAACGACACATTGAAAAGGGAAAAGGATGAAAAATGGGCGGCTATGATCTCACCATGTTAAATCGTATCAACCTTTGAATTTAGATCAGATGATAATTCAGTCCCCACTTTTCTTCTTCTACCAACCCCATTACACAAACATTGGGTCTCACTGACTTTACCCATTTATTGACTTTAATATTCATTGTCATTTGTTAATTTAAAGGGGGCTAGAGTGTAATGTTTAACAAATAAAGGGAACTAGAGTAAAGAGTGAATTTAAGAGGTTATATCTAGGGGGTCAAAGTGTCAAAAGTTCAACAAATGAGGGGTAAAAAAGTTAAAAACCTAAAATATTTAGGGACGAAATTAACATATATCAATATAAATTCACAAAACACTTGCAGGCTTGGGTGCTATGCCTGTCGTCACAGCTAGGAGTTTCACACCAAAAAAACTAGCCTGTTAGGTGGAAGGATTACCCCCCTTATAAACCCAAGATCACCCTATTTCCCTTTTGATGTGGGATTTATAACATTCTCCCCCACTCAATCCTATGACGCTCTCCTCATAGGTGGGACCCCCTGACTACTCGTCCACCTTACCCTCGAGTGGACTCACAATCACACTTGGACGCTCTTCTAGGTAGGCGTTTGGCAAGACACCGAAAGGCTGATTATGGTCAATTCTGATACCACTTGTCACCCTTGCATATAACCCTTTTCATGGGCGAACCTCGACGGTACGAGGGAAATTTATTCAAAATAAAATAAAAATTACACCTAACAAGGGGGGACATAATGAACCTTACCCTTGAGATAATGAAATCTATTTACAACGGTAAAAGATTTATGAAAAAGGAAAAAAATGCAAAATGCATGCAATGAACACATTACATATAAGAACACCAAACTAGTGCAGGACTGAAATAAAACAAACCAAATTCTTTCGGCTCACAGTGGCGAAGTCTTCCGAGGCTTGGTCAATGGCTCCAGTTCAGTTGGCAATCCTCCGTTTCCCTTGTATAAGCTTGTGCATTCTTCGATTATAAGATATCTCAAACTCACCATTTTTCTCATATCTTTTGGTAATTTCTTGAGCCTATAGCAGTAAGAGAGATCTAATATTTCCAGATTTATTAGCTTCAATATTGAATTAGGGAGTTTTTTGATCTCATTACAAGAAAGGTCAAGATATCGTAGATATTTCAACCTTCCAATAGAACTTGGTAACTTTTGCAGGTACAAGCAACTCAAATCCAACATACGCAAGCAACTGAAATCCAAAATACGCAAGCACCAAAATTTTGATCCAGCATACGTCAACGTAATTTCATCGCGAAAATTCTCACTATCATACCAGCACAAACAGTAGATAAAGAAGATATTCCTGCAACTGAGATTAGGTCTAATATACCCTGGGGATTTCAGTGGTTTAAATGGAAAAAGCAGAGTTCTTATATGTTTTGCTTTTAGCAACTCCTCTGGAAATTTTTGCGATGGCTGTAAATGGAAACCAAGTGATACATGACGACATCTTTCATTAATATATTTTGTACACGAAGTTGCTATGATGCCCTCACTTCCTATAACTAATTGTGCGAGATCATGCATAAGATCATGCATTTTATACATGGTTTTTCTCGGACTTCGACCAAGATAATGCGTATTATACATGAATATAGCCCTATATTGTGGAGCCACTTGAAAAAATGACCTCGACAATAACTCCATGAAATACTTATTCCCAAGATCCTCCGGGGATTGGTTCTCATTTGATTTTTGAACAAAACCTTGTGCCATCCAAAGATAAATTACTTTCTCTTTTTCAAAGCTATAATCTTTGGGAAACAATGCACAATAAGCAAAACATTGTTTTAAGTATGAAGGGAGATAATCATAACTAAGCTTAAATATTGGTAAAACATCAGTTTCTTCTTGATCAATTTTTGACAATTCGCTGTCCCTGAAATGCAACCAATCATCCACTGCATAGTTATCATAAAGTAAACGTCCTATTGTCTTAATAGCAAGAGGGACTCCTGCACACTTAGCTAAAATCTCCTTCCCAATCGCTATCAGTGTTGAACTTTTTGGCTCTTCCCCTTGTTCAAATGCTATTTGCTTAAACAAAGACCAAGACTTGTCTTTTGGCAGGCCTTGTAAGTGATAACGTCGATCCTTGCTGGTAATCTTAGCAACTTGTTCACTACGAGTAGTCACCAATATCATGCTCCCTTTTGCACCGTTCTTTAACAAATCTTTCAATTCATTCCAACTATTAGGATTTTCATTCCATACATCGTCCAAAACTAGTAGATATTTTTTTCCATTAATTTCTTGGCGAAGTTTTTCTTGCAATTTATCAATTCCAAGGTTTTCAGGCTCTTTAGAGGTTTCGGATTTTATGATCTGTTCTACAATTACTTTCATACTAAAATCATTGGAGACACACACCCACATTTTTAATTCAAATTTTTTTTTTTACATCATCGTCATTGTACACAGATTGAGCAAGTGTGGTCTTTCCTATCCCTCCAATCCCAACTATGGAAATGACTGAAACATTTTCAACATCATCTTCGTCCCTCAATAAATATTGTTTAATTTCATTTCTATCGTGATCCCTCCCAATAACCTTTTCTTCACATACAAAAGAATACGTTTCCCTCTCTGTACGCCCGACTCTCTTTTCCTGACGATGCTCACTAAGGTGAAACTTTCTATCATTCTTGATCTCTTTTAGTTTCTCCCTAATGGTCTTAATTTTACGAGCCATCGTATAACTATATGCAATGTGATTCGATTTGGAGAAGAAAATACGTACCTCTTTCGCAATTGTACACCCACTCATCACCTCTCTTTGCTTAAGTTCAGTTGAGAAATCATCCAACAGGTCATCAGCTTCATTAAATGCATCCTTGAGCTTTTGAAGCCAAACTATCACCTCTTGATTCTTCTTGTTTTGTTCCTCTTCAGCATCTGAAAGCACAGCTCTGATGGTGCTGATGGTCTCTTTGAGTTTATCGAACTCCTCTTTGACACCACATGCTAATCCAATTTCTTTGATAGCTAAGGATCCCAAAACCTGCAAAAGTTTGCCCGCAGTGTTAAACAAAAGCCCCGTCGCCATTGCTAGCTTCTGAAAATCGTTTTGAAGGGGACAAATTAATGAATGATGGTTCTAAGACGACTCAGATTGTGTGCGGTCATGGAACATTAACAATTTTCAGATTTATAAGAGAGGGGGATTCATGCATGGCTTTAAGTAAAGAATATTAAACACATACTTGAGAGCGAAGTAAAGATTACATGTACTAGGCGGAAGAAAGATGATTCCTGATATCAATTTTACATTTGTTCTATTCCATCCTTTTCTTTTCGTAAGAAGAAACAAAATTCCATCATTTTCTTGGAAACAACTCCGGCTTTATCATATGAACCCTTAAATTACCTATAAAAATACAAATTTCTGGGCAATATTAGAGTGTTGAGGTCACAATACCTCCATTTTGAACTCTTGAATTACCTCTCAAAAAGTGTTTGTTATGATACTGGGTCTGGTAACATTAGCAAGACGATATATAGGTTATAATTTTTAACAGTTTCATTATGTTTAACCATGTTTGAATTATCATGTATGGTACTTCAACTATCAATTATATGTGTAGCTACTATATATAAGATGGTTGACACTTAAAACCTTATATGAACCCTTGAATTAATGACCTTCTAAAAGAGTTGTTATGTAGCTCGTTTAATGTCATTGTTCAACAAGTCTATAATATCACAATAGTCCTTTAGGTTGTTTGGCCTCCCATCCTTTCTATAATTTGAGAAAGTTTAGAAGATGGGGTGACACCTCATAAATTAATCGGCTGTATGTATATATATCTGGGCCACCTTACGCGTTGTGATGGCAATGGGCCTGGCCGAGACCGGGTACCCGTTGGCCCAGGCCCAAACCCGACCTCATGACAAAGGCCCAAGCCCGGCTCGGGCCCGTCACGGGTATAATAGGTAAAGCCCAAACCCAGCCCGATGGCTTTTAAATATTAATTTATTTTTGAATACTCATCAAATGGGATGAGATTAGGGTTTGGGAAAAATGGGCATATATATATATATATATATATATAAGATAATCTTGTAATTAAATATATAGTATAAAGATAATTTAGGAAAATTAATACTAAAATTGTCGGGCCGGGCCTGAAGGCATACGGGTCGGGTCTTAAAATCATGCCCAGGCCCAAGTCCAAGCTTGCAAACACAAGGTAAAGCCCAAACTTTTCGAGCCGGGCCGCGCTAGGTACCAGAAAATATCGGGTCCATTGTCATCTCTACTTACGCGTACCTCAATTAATTCTCTGATACCCTAAAGTTGATGATAAGATAAATCTCTTCAGTGATCATCTCTAACAAGGTTTATGAGAATTCAAACTAAAAAATCTATATTAGATTTATTTGTTCTTTTACCATCGTACTACCCAATGATGGATACATAACTTAAAGTTCTTTAACGAATTGTTTGGCCAGTAGTAGCTTGACCAAACCTTGGTCCAGAAGAAGGTAGCCCAATTGCCAGCTCAGCAACAAGAGCAAAACAAAATCCACCGAACATAATGGATGAGACCTTAAATCATGGAGATAGTACCTGATTGAAGAATCTAGTTTGAGTAACTATAACACAAAAGTTAAGGTAAAAAGTTTCAGTATTGATTATTCAACATTCATTTCAAAAAATAAATAGTTGAATGTAATAGGTCATATGACTGATGTTCTGTCGGTAGCTTTAGCTACCGTTTAGTTCTTTCCAAACAAGATTTGCTTAAATAGCATAAGTAAAAACACAATCCGCTTAAATGGCATAGTAAAAATACCAAATTTGTATGGTCAGCAAAAGACGGCGACATACGTGGAGCTGACTCCAGTTTCCACTTCTCAAATTTCTGGTGTGAGGGTGACCCTCTTACCTTTACATAGTCTTCTCTTTCTTGTATTGGCTGATCCCATCATGAGGCAAACTCTGCTTGAAGCAGGTTAGTTTTCCAAATTTTCAGGTAAATTAAGTTTTAGTCACTCTCTATTGACCTTAGCGTCTGTATCTTTTGTCTGAAATTCATGACCTTTTAAACAAATTCTTGGGTTCTGCTTGGTTGCTGAGAAAACACTAGAAACCAAAACTAAAGAAGAAAAAAAATGAAAAATTGATGTGATTTATGCAACTGGGTAATCGTAAAGATTGTGTCTTTTAGCTGAAAGTTTGATTTGTTTAAAGCAAAATCATGGGTTCTGCTTGGTTGCCAAGAAAATACTGGAGAATGAAAAAAAAGGTGAAGATTTTGTGTAATTTTGTATCTGGGTTGTTGTCAAGATTGGTTTGGAGTTAAATTTAGTCTGTGTTGTGTGAAATTTGCGTAGTAGAAGTATTGGCTTTTGTTGACTGGCAGCTAGAAAGTAATAGGTTTTAGTTAGAGTTTATGGAGAGACTAGAGTGGCTGAGAAATTTAACATAATTGTTGTTTCAGAATCAGGGAAGTGTTTTTCTTCACATAGTATTATATTTTCTAAAACTCTTTTTTACTATTCTTATTGACCCATAAATGAATTTCTGTTTGATTTAGAATTTGATTGTGTATCTGGGAGTTGAGTTGTTCTTCAATATTGGATTTTGAGGCAGATAAAGGGTTAAACTTACTATATAGTCTGGATGGTTTTATGGATATTTATCTTCCCAGTTTGTTCTCAGCTTATCTTGAGTTTCTCTGATGTTGATTTGTTAGTAATTAGCTCTTATTTTATGGGAAGTTGACTTACACTAATTAAAACATCACTTAATTGTTTGAATAGTTTACTTCTGGTTTTGGTTTCACTTGTCTACTATTGTTCTACCCGTTCCACTGACTGAAGTTGTTGCGTCTAATCATTTTTAAGACTTTTAGTTTGATAATCTTTTTGAATTTGGAAAGCATCTGTGGTACATAGAGTGATTTGCTTATGATAATAGCAGTTCTGATGTGCAGACTAGATCTATCGTTTATTGTTTTTGATTGTGATCTCATGATTATTGATCTGTATTAGGCGACAGAATGGAGGAGGGATTGCCGGAGGCAGAGCCTTCTGTTTCAACATGGGACAGAATTTCCAACTTAAAGACAATGGCTTGGGAAGCATACAAAAGAAAGCCGATATCTCATTGGATTCTTTTGGCATTGAGCAGTGCAGCAATGCTTGTGGCTTTTCCTGCTTCAAGCCTTCTATCTCGAGTCTACTACAATAATGGCGGCACAAGCAAGTGGATCATTTCGTGGGTGGCGGTGGCTGGATGGCCTTTGACTGCTTTAATCTTACTGCCTACATATTTCTTTCTCAAAACTTATCCCACTCCTCTGGACTTGAAACTCACTCTTTCTTACATTGTTCTGGGTTTCTTGAGTGCTGCTGATAATCTCATGTATGCATATGCCTACGCCTACCTTCCGGCATCAACTGCTGCTCTTATAGCATCATCATCCCTGGTTTTTTCTGCGCTATTTGGATATGCCATTGTGAATAATAAACTGAATGCTTCAATGATAAATGCTCTTGTGATAATCACTGCTGCTATGACCATAATTGCATTGGATTCAGATTCTGATAGATACAGCAATGTCACTGACAAACAATACATCATGGGGTTTGTCTGGGATATCCTGGGATCAGCCCTTCACGGGCTCATTTTTGCTCTTTCGGAGCTTGTATTTGTGAGGTTATTAGGCAGGAGGTCGTTCCATGTTGTATTGGAGCAACAGGTCATGGTTTCTTTATTTGCCTTTGTGTTTACCACCATTGGAATGGTTGTGAGCAAGGATTTTCAGGGGATGAAATCTGAGGCCAAAACATTTGAAGGCGGTGCCAGTGCATATTACCAGGTTCTCATATGGGGTGCAGTCACTTTCCAGTTGGGGATATTGGGAAGCACTGCTGTACTTTTCTTGGCTTCCACTGTAATGGCTGGTGTTCTCAATGCAGTAAGGGTGCCTATCACCAGCATTGCCGCTGTTATACTGTTACACGATCCCATGAGCGGATTCAAGATCCTCTCACTGATTATTACCTTCTGGGGATTTGCTTCCTACATCTATGGCAGTTCTTCAGTGAGTAAATATTCACCCTCATAGTACATTAATAGTCAATTGATTCTTTCTTCTTCCTGTTTTATGAATCTGTATCATGTGGCCTTTCGTACATAAAGACTCAGGTTACCAATTATGTCTTGATCTTATGCTACAATAAGAGGCATAAATGTATGTAGTCTCAATGAAATATTGTACCAATATGTTTCAGAGAAACGATATTTGATTAAACATTTAGAATAAACGGATTTTAGATTGTTTCTATTGCTTTGAGCATCTTTAATAGTAAAAGTCTTCATGGAATAAGCGCATATATGCATGGAGGTCATATCAAAGCGCTGTGACCTGCATACAGGATAAGTGATGTGATGGTATATTGGTATACTAAAATTTGATTTGTTCGAATTAACAGCAAACTTTTTGACATGATTAAGATAACTGAAGTCTGAAGATGGAAAAATTGGACTATCATTTTCCAAGCTCATTATGCTGGAAAGAGATTTAAACACAGGCAAATTCACGCAAAAATATTCCTTTTATGTGATCAACCTGCAGAAACATCAGGCTGTTCTTGTCGAAATGGTATCCTAATGACACTTTAAATTGAGATGTCGGAAATGTGTTTAAAATTGAAAGGAAACCGATAAAATTTAAGGTAGGGCTGACTTCTCATCCAATAACATCTTATTAAATGGGAGAATTACCCCCTCTTATAAATCAATAGACTTGAGCATGCCTAGTCGATGTGTGACTCTAACACTCTCCTTCACGGTCAAGTCCATATGTTGGGTTATACCTATTGATGAAAGTAATTGCTGACTCTAACTCCTCACCCGCTAGTCAAACACTCAGTTTAACTAGGCTTAACTCTGATATTATGATAGAATTTGAGATGAGTCTGACTTTTCATCCAATGAGTCTCACCCAATGAGACCTTATTGGGTGAGGAGTTAAGCCCACCTCAAATTCTATCATGGTATTATAGAATTAAACCCAGTTAGACCATTGGGTGAGGAGTCAGACCCACCTCAAATTCTATCATAAACAAACGAGATACCAGAAGCCTTAAATTGATACACAAAACTCAAACAGCCAACAAAGAGAAGGGTGTAATAGAATAATAAAATATATATAAATCCATCACGTTGTCAACATAAATTCCCTTCATCATGAGATTTGGCAACGCCTATTCTCTTTCCATTTTGTTCATCACAAACCTGAAGAGTTGTAATAAACAGCTAAAATACTATCTTAATAGAAGTTTGTTGTACTCATGGATAGAACAAACTCATGGATAGTAGATAATCTCCACGTTAGCAACATATGTAGAGTTCTCTTTCCATCAGCTATGGCTAATGCCATAGCATCATATTTAATATTCTTACTTCGGACCAATGTCCTTAAGGGCGCAGATCTGCTCCTCTCCCATTGCAGACATAACAGACACCACAAGGTCCTTTCCTTCAGCAAACCCATCTTTAATCTACAAAAGGGGAGAAAAAGTAAATATGAATTTCAAATGGAAAGACAACAAAGAAGAACTCACAAAGTATAAAACATGCTACAAAATACCTGGCTAAGCAGGTTATCATCAGTGGGAAGCCTTAAATCATCCTTGGTGTTCCCGTTTTCAGTAAGAAGACTCACCTACAAGGCACTCAACTCTATTAGTTAATCAATAAGTTTGGCAGAATACAAAGAAAGGTGAAGCTGTCTTCGCTTTGAAATTATAAATTATATTAGTGCAAAGTTTTGAGCAAAATTTGCGGAAATAAATTGCATACACATGCTTTTACACTCCCCAAGGAAACTTTTTTCTTGAGCTTCTCCACGGAGATTCATATATTCCTTCATATCATGAGTAAATGTAAATGCACATAAAATGGAATTTCCCCTATATAGTTCACAGTGATGAAAGTAATATTTACATATAAATTTGAAAAGGGCATTAACAGGAAGAATTAACTAAAATTTAAAATGGGAATTTAAATAATAATTAGCAGTGACAGATGAAGGCACAAACTTCTACTGTTAAAACAGAAAGAATTTCTCAAGTTCACAATTTGGTATTGATCAATAGAATAACTTACAAAACCATCTTCAGAAATATCGATCAACTGATAGTCGGTACGATTAACATGAGGAACCTGTGAAAACAGTCATAAAAATAAATAACACAAACAAACAAATGAGTTCCGTGGAAAATTACAAAGAAGAAGAAACAGAAGAAACGGGATTGACATTACATCACAGTTATGGGATGAAGGAACAATATCTTCAAGCTTCTTCCCGGTAAAGATATCAATTCCCACGAAGTGGCACTTTGCATGTCCATGCTTTCCTGTCTTCGAAGTGGAAACTTCAACCACCTAAATTAAAAAAATAAATAAATAAATAAGGAGAAAAAGATAAATAAACAGATTTCGATATATAAGTAACTTGAATAGATGTCCTCTAATACTGCTCGCTACCCTCCTGGTATTTGTGGTCCTCCTAAAGTTACAAGGCCTTTTGCCAAGTTCCTTCGACAAGATCCTCTTGAACACCCTAGCCTACTTCTTCACTTATGTCGGTACAGAGTACAGTCAATTCATGATAAGGATCTCCCTCCCAAATCAAAGTTTTTTTTCTTCTAAAAAGTCTTAACCTTTTCCACTCTAAAAACAACCATGAGTACAAACCAATTTCTACCCAAGTTCGTGTACTAGTGTTGTCAAAAACACTTCATTACTGCAGTCTCTCACAAAAAAGATAGAGCAAACTAATTACAAAAAACAGTTCAACTATGAATTAACAACCAATAAAGCCAAAAAAAATAAAAAAATAAAAAATAAAGTCAAACTTGTGCATTGTATGAATCCTCATAATTGAAAGCAACAGAACCAAATCACAAAGTTTGGACTTTTATAAGAGCTAGTAGTCCCCATTAAGTTTCAATTACAACCGCTAAAATTACAAAAACACAGACATCTACTTGTTTAGTTTAATTATATAAATTTTTTCAAACGCAAAGACCTTTCACAGAAATTCTAATTCATAACACAAACCAACCAAGCAAATCTAAGAATTGCACCAAATCAACACCAATTCTCATTCAAAGTTCTAAACTTTACTGGTAAAATTAACCCAAAAACTGAAAAATACACAATTATCATAAAAAATAAAAAACAACCCACCAAAGATCTGAGAAAAACAAAACAAACCCAGATGAAAATCCATGAAAAGCAACCTAAAAAACCAAAATCACAGCCAAAAAAAAAAATGGAAAAATAAAAAAGAGATAAGACCTTGCAAGGACGGTTCTTGATGACAATATAACCATTCTTGCGGATGGTTCCAGCTTGTTGAGGGTAAGTTTTGGAGGCTCCAGCATCAGCCTTTGATTCGAAGTGGTGCTCCTCGTCAGACATGGTTGAGTTGAGAGTTCTTCTTCTTCTTCTTGTTTGTTCACTGAATTTGAGTTTTTGTTTTTTATGTGAGTTTAAGGAGGCCGAGTTTCTAGGATGTCACATGCTCTTATTATTATTATTTTCTTTTTTCTTTTTTGTTTTTATCTTTAAATTATTATTATTATTATTGTTTTTTTTTTTTTTTTTAAGAGAAAAAGAGTTTGAGTTGTTTAAGTTTCTTTTTAACCATGGTTAGGTTAACCACGGTTAACGGTATATACTAGAATGATTAGTCTATCTATTCTATTCATAATAACAAATACAAAATTTTATAATTTTCGATTCAAAAGCTCTTAATAAATTTTTACCTTTTATTGTTAATATCATTGGTAGTTAATATTTATTTTTTGACATTATTAGCATCGATAAATATAAAAGTTTCGATTTAAAAAAAAAAATACGATTTTTTTAATGTATTACAAAAAAATATTTATAAGTAAGGGTGTGTACTGTGTAGTAAACATGGTTTTTATTCGATTAGATTAATTTTAACCCAACTCAAATTAATAATAAATTAGTCAAGCCATTTTAATTATGTTACTAAACCAAACCAAGTTAAATCGGGTTGGTTTGATTTTGATTAAATTTGATTTTGATTAATTAGTTTGATTTAATTTTATAGGTAAATTATAGGTCGATTTGAAAGATTTTCTCCATCAATCAAATAATTCTAATATATTGATTAAAATAATAATAATAACAAATAAATAAATAAAAAAGCTAATAAATTCTAGTAATTTTCATGGCTCATATTTTTTTTTCTTTTCATGTTATTATTGATGAAGCATCCGATGCTTAACATAGACAAGAGGGTTTTAATATTAGTCTAAGAATTATACTTTTATTCTTATTCTTAAATTGGAAAGTGGTTGTATGAAACTATTTTTTTAAACTTTTTATTAAATAAAAAAAAAAGTTTCAATTTCAAAGATGCACTGAAAAAAGAAAATCTCACTACTATTATGAGATGAAAATGAAATTTTAACAACACGTAATATAAAATCTGTAATATAATATGAAGCATCATACTTGTAATATTAAACGTTAACTTTACAGTATTCTTTGATAGGTATTTTGAAAGGCAAAGTCTTGTGAAATAAATGGTATGATACTATGAATTTCCGTTTCTTGTATATTCTTATTTTATCAAAATAATATTATATTTCAATTTTATCCTTGAATCATAGAAATGTTACTCTCAATATTGTGGATAGAAAAACCATTTAAATGGAAATACAATTGTAAATAGAAATAAAATTATGAGAATTGAAAAAATGAATCGAAATCGAATGTCCTGTATACTATCTATAAATATAGTGGTGGAAATCAATTCAAATTTATAAGAGAATGTAAAAGTTATTAAACATTTAGGTATTAGGTTCAGTATGGTTAGAAATCACGATTATTTCCACTTTGTTATTTATGTACTGGGTTTATGACTATAGTGGATTTTTTTCATCTGTGGATGTAGGCAGGTTATATCGAATCTTGTAAATATCATGTCTCTTTGTGTGATATGATTTTATTCATATGTTATTAATCTTGAATGTATGTTTTCTGGTCTCGTTTTTTTTCTTTTTTTTTTTACAATTATACTATGCATACTCCAAATTTTTACAAATCAACCTACAACATGATGTGGCGTCTGACGTGGCAGTGTCAATTTATCTGCCACGTCAGTCACTTGCCACATCAGACAACTAAAACAAAAAAAAAAAAAAAATTTCTGAAATTTTTTCGCGCTGGGTTACAGAATGAACTTTTGCCTCCAAAAACTTTGCCTCCCTAATCTTTGCCTCCATAATCTCAATCTTAATAACTTAAAATCTTCTCTCCCAAATCCCAATCTTAATAACCTAAATCTTCTCTCTCAAATCCCAATCTTAATAACCTAAATCTTCTCCCAAATTAAATCATACTCAAAACCCAAATCACCCATCCGAATCTGAGCTTTGAACTGTCGGCTGTGACATCCATTGTTGCCGTCGCATTTGTCTCTGTTGCTGACCAGTGAGAGTTCCTTTTGAGTGGTAAGAGCTTACTCACTCAATGGTCTCTCTTACCTACTTGCTGCTAGTGGGAGAAGTGGAACACAACACTTGCTTGGTGCTTTTGAGTTGAGAACCATGTATAAGTGTGTATAAAGTTTAAGATAAACAATATTATAGTAAAAAGGAGCTTTCTAAATCCAATAAATTGAAGAAATTTTGTGTAAATGTAAAACGGTGAAAGGAACCCCACAATTTGGGGAAGAAAAGGTGAAAAAAAAAANCAGAAATACTATGCATACTGCTGATTTTACTTACCAACCTACGACATGACATGGCGTCTGACGTGGCAGTGCCAATTCATCAGCCACGCCAGATAGTTAAAAAAAAAAAAATCTAAAAAAATTTTGCACTGGGTTTACACTTTACAGAATGAATTTTTGCCTCCAAAAACTTTGTCTCCCTAATCTTTGCCTCTGTAATCTCCATCTTAATAACTTAAAATCTTCTCTCCCAAATCCCAATCTTAATAACCTAAATCTTGTCTCTCAAATCCCAATCTTAATAACCTAAATCTTCTCCCAAATTAAATCATACTCAAAACCCACATCACCCATCTGAATTTGAGCATCTGAACTGCCGGCTGTGACATCCATTGTCGCCGCTGCATTTGTCTCTGTCGTTGACCAGTGAGAGTTCCTTTTGAGTGGTAAGAGCTTACTCACTCAATGGTCTCTCTTACTTACTTGCTGCTGGTGGGAGAAGTGGAGCACAACACTTCCTTGGTGCTTTTGAGTTGAGAACCATGTATAAGTGTGTATAAATTTTATGATAAACAATATTATAGTAAAAAGGAGCTATGTAAATCCAATAAATTGAGGAAATTTTGTGCAAATGTAAAATGGTGAAAGGGAACTGCACAATTTGGGGAAGAAAAGATGAAAATTGGATGACTTGGTGACTGGTTTTAGTAACGCCTGGAACCTTTTTCTTGAGGACTAATAATGTAGTTTTCAGCAAGACACTTAGAAATCTTTTATATTAGTTATCATACTGGCTAAAGTAACCATCTAGACTGTCTTTCCCCAATTTTCAAGAGCACACAAGAAACATCTTTGTTCTGTCATTTTTGTTTCCTTCGATTTAGGTAACTCATAGCAAATATCCTGCTGTAAAGGCACTTGTCTTTTTGCCCCTTATTTCATAAGGATGTTTCTTCCTGTTTTCTACCTTCTTGTTAAAAATTAGTTTCTTGTTATATATCCAGGAGAGATGTTCCTTGGTATCTTACAAAACATTTAGTTCTTACAACTAGGAGGTTAGTTGTTACTACTTTGATTTGATGTGCTAGCTTATATGGTTTGGATTGTTGTGTCTNAGGAATGGACGGCCGTCCCCAATTTTTATAAAAAAATTTTATTCCATTTTACTTATGGACGGGCATCATTTAATTGGGGACCCCATCCCTGGTATATGGACCCCCGTCCATATAATATGGACGGGCGTCCATGTGAGTGAATGACCGTCCAAATTTGATGGACGGTCGTTCACTAGAAAAAAAATTGTTAAAAAAATCTGAGGCGTATTACACGTAGGCCGGTACAATATTTCGGTGCAAAAATCCAAGTGTCCGTAGCATTATTGTTCTATCACGTCTCTCCCATCTTCACAAAAGCTCCATTAATGAAACAAATCCCCAAATATACAAACCCCACAAATTTCTTTCTTCTTCTTCACCTTTCTTCTTTCTTCTTCTTCTCTCTTTTTCTCTTCCTCCTTTTTCTGAACTATCTCTCCTTTCTATCAAACCCACTTTTTCTTGGGTCAGCTTAACTGAAGCCACTTCTTCTCTTTGGATCAAAGAGTGGACCGGCGTCGACCTCAGAACTCCTTGCAACTGAAATAGAAGTCCGAGCTCCAGAATAACTTATCAAATCACCACCTTCTTTTGACCAGAAAAGCCCACCACCCTTGAAGCTAAAAAGAGGCCTGGACCTTGACACATAACCCATAAATCACTTTTCTTATCACATCCACCAACACTTTTGCCAAAATCTTTGTCCCTTTTCTTCCTAAACAACCTTTGTCCTGATCTGGCCAACCACCAATCTTTAAGACATCATGCCATCATCATCATCATCATACTCATAGAATTAAGACCATTTCATCTTAATCTTTTTTTTTTTCCCATTTTTTTCTTGCATAATAGAGAAAAAGAAAAAAAAATTCTGTTAACAAACACCACCAGCAGAGACATAAAGCGGTGCACTGCAGACCCAAACCCACCGCAAGGGTTGAACATCCATGAAGAAAAGGAGAGAAGAAAGAAAGGAAAGAGGAGGAGAAAGGAAGGAGTTGACGAGAAAGAAATGTAGGTTCAGAAGAGAGAGAAAAANTTTTGTATACGCACAAGTTAAATTTAGATGGTTTTGTTTCTATCATGTTTGTTATCTTATAATATTCTAATTCTGGGTATTATAATATAAATGAATCAGGATAATCAGTTTGATGAAGTTGAAGATAGAGGAAGTGCAGATGAGGAATGGGAGCCAAAACCTGGGATGGTTTTTGATTCACTTGATAATCTTCTCCAATACTATAGAAGTTATGGGAATAGAATGGGGTTTGAAGTTATTATAAGATCCTCAAGGAAAGGAGATGATGGAGAGATGACAAACGCAGCACTGGCTTGTTCTTGTATTGGGAAGTCGAGTAGTAACACCCGAAATGCTTTTAAATTATACCCAGTGACAAAGACGGATTGTAAGGCTCGGGTTGGTGCAGCCATACGTGGTAATGGAAAATGGAAAATATGTTCAGTGGGGTTGAATCATAACCATGAGCTTAGTAGCCCAACGAAAACTAGATATTTCAGGAGCAATCTTGGTATACAACCATACTTGAAAAGGAGACTTGCAGTAAATGATACGGCCGGGATTAGGCCGAATAAAAATTTCAATTCCATGTTAGTTGAAGCAGGCAGTCCTGAGAATTTGACTTTCTTGCAAAAAGATTGTAGGAACTATATTGAAAAAGTTAAAAGGATGCGACTTGGTGCCAGGGACGCTTATGCAATCCAAAAATATTTTTTAAAGATGCAAAAAGATAATTCAAATTTCTTTTACATGATGGATTTAGATGAGAAGGGTCAATTACAGAATGTTATATGGGTGGATGCAAGAAGTAGGGCTACATTTAAGGAATTTGGCGACGTTGTCACATTTGACACTACATACTTGACCAACAAGTATGATATGCCATTTGCGGCGTTTGTTGGTGTTGACCATCATGGGCATTCAACACTCTTAGGTTGTGGGTTAATCTCCCATGAGGACACGGAGACTTTTGTTTGGCTTTTTGAATCTTGGCTTGCATGTATGTGGAATTGTGCTCCAAATGCAATAATCACTGATCAAGACAAGGCAATGCAAAATGCAATTGAGATTGTGTTTCCTGCTACACGGCATAGCTGGTGTTTGTGGCATATAATGAAGAAATTACCAGAAAAGTTAAGGGGTTACAGCGAATACGAACGTATTAAGTTTGCTTTGCAAAATGCTGTGTATGATTCATTGACACGTGAGGAGTTCGATCAACGTTGGACTGGATTCATTGATAAATACAACCTTCACAACAATGAGTGGTTACTTGGACTGTATAATGAAAGACAACATTGGGTGCCAGCGTTTGTAAAAGACACCTTTTGGGTAGGTATGTCTACCACTCAATGGAGTGAAAGTACGCATGCATTCTTTGATGGGTATGTAAATTCTAAAACCACTTTGAAACAGTTTGTAGAACAGTATGAGAATGCATTATGTGATAAAGTAGAAAAAGAAAAGGAGGCTGATTTTAGATCATGGAAATCATGGATTCCTTGCATAACCGGTTATCCAATGGAGAAACAATTTCAGGAGGCACACACGACTGCAAAATTCAAAGAGTTTCAGCAAGAGCTTACTACTAAGTTGCATTGTGAGATATCTTCTTTCTGGACCACTGAATCTGAAATAGAATATATTGTAAAGGAAGTTGTCGTGGTTGGGGAGACATGTCGTAGTGTGCTTTTTGTGGTTTGCTATAATGATCATGGTTGTGATGTTCGTTACAACTGTCGATTGTTNCTTATCTGTTTTGACAGTCTTGACATAAGCTGAACAACCCCAGACCTTTAAATAGTTAAGACTATCTGGTTTGCCACACCATACTTCATATGGTCTTTTTTGGATTGATTTAGATGGTGCTCTATTTAAAATATGCACTGCTATTTGTAAGGCATACCCCCACAAGTAAATCGACAAGTCTGTAAAAGTCATCATCAATTGTACCATATCCAATAAAGTACAATTTCTCCTTTCAGATACACCATTGTGTTGTGGTGTAAATGGAGGAGTTAATTGTGATATAATTCCATTTTCTTTTAAGAAATCTTGAAATTCCGTACTTATGAATTCACCTCCATGATCTGATCATAGAATTTTAATACTCTTTCCAGTTTGTTTCTTTACTTCATTCTCGAATTCTTTCAACTTTTCAAAAGATTCTGATTTGATACAAATACCCATACTTGAATAATCATCAGTAAAGGTAATGAAGTAATGAAAACCTGCTCTGGCCATTTCATTATATGGTCCACATACTTCTATACGTATTTATTCCAATAATTCTTTGGCCCTTTCCCCTTTACCCTTAAAGGGTAACTTGGTCATTTTTCCTTGAAAACAAGATTCATAGGTCGAATAGGGTTCTGAACCCAATGAACTTAAAAGTCCACTTTCTCCTAACTAGATTACTCTGTTGTCTCCTATATGACCTAATCTATGATGCTAAAGTAATTTAGGATTAACTTCATTTCCAGTTCGTTTATTAGTTATGGAATTCATTATGCTGTGGCCATTTAATTCTAGCACATGCAAACCATTTGTATTGATAGCTTTTCCAACAAGTTTATTTCCAAAATAAACTAAACATTCATTTCTATTGAACTGCACACCATAACCATATTTACATAATACAGAAAAAAAAAATTATATTTCTAGTGGCTTTTGCAAAATACAAGACATTGCACAAATACAAAAGGTGTCTAGTGGAAGCATCAAACTGCATGTTCCCATGGCTTTGGCAGCAACATTTGCTCCATTCGTCATTCTTAACATGACTTGATCTTTTGCCAGAGCAGAACTATTTTCTAGATCTTGCAAACAAACACAAATGTGTAAAGTAGCAACTGAATCTAATATCCAGGATGAATTATTTGAACTAACATTTAATTCAAATTCAATGACATAGCATTGGGACATACTTAATCCAGTCTTCTCAATGAGAAGAGCTTTAGTCTCCTTAAGACTTTCTAGATAGATAGGACAATTCCTCTTCCAATGCCCTTTTTCTTTGCACCAAAAGCATTGGCCCTTTCTTTAGATTTATTGGCTTGAGGTGCAGTCTTTTTCTTAAACCCCTTTCCCTTGGGTTTTGTTCCCAATTTCTTTTGGAATTTCATTGGGTTTTTTCTTCTTTGTCTTACTGGAAGAAACCATACTAACAACCTCCTACCTTTTTCCTTTTCTTTCTTGATCATAAAACTATTGAATCTCATTCAAGAAATCAAGAAGTTTTCTCTCAAACCTATTGAGATGGTAATTATTGATGAAAGGTGTGAAACTTGAAGGTAGATATTGAAGAACTAAATCCACCTTGAGGGTCTCTGGCATTTCAATTTTCATGGCATGTAATTGCCCCAGAATATTAATCATTTTCATGACATGTTCTTTTGGTGGCATACCGTCTTTCAACTTCATTCCAAATAAAGTT